TTTGTTTAGTCTATAATGTTTAGAAAAAAAAAACTATTTTTTCATAAGAAAAAATAATTTTTTTTTTTTTTTTTTGGAAATTTGGCCGACCTTGGGAACAAGTCTCTGACAGGGCCTGTCGACCCTGAAAGGTTTAACTTGCTAGTGACACCCCTGCTTTTCATTGGGGGGATGTTGCATCATCTGCCGAGTCTTTTGCTTTCGTAGCAAGTGATTTTTGTGTGCAAGTTCGGTACTATTCCCTCTAGGATTTTCCATGTGTATATAATCATATATCTCTCCCACCTGCATTCCAAGGAGTACAGGTTCAGGAACTTCATGCGCTCCCAGTAATTTAGGTGTTTTATCTCCGTTATGCGCGCTGTGAAGGTTCTCTGCACATTTTCTAGGTCAGCAATTTCACCTGCCTTGAAAGGTGCTGTTAGTGTGCAGCAATATTCCAGCCTAGATAGATCAAGTGACCTGAAGAGTGTCATCATGGGCTTGGCATCTCTAGTTTTGAAGGTTCTCATTAACCATCCTGTCATTTTTCTAGCAGATGCGATTGATACAATGTTATGGTCCTTGAAGGTGAGATCCTCCGACATGATCACTCCCAGGTCTTTGACGTTAGTTTTTCGCTCTATTTTGTGGCTGGAATTTGCTTTATACTCTGATGAAGTTTTAATTCCCTCATGTTTACCATTTTTTTTTTAACAAGTAGGCCATCTCCCACCGAGGCAGGGTGACCCAAAAAGAAAGAACATCCCCAAAAAGAAAATACTTTCATCATAATTCAACACTTTCACTTCACTCACACATAATCAATGTTTTTGCAGAGGTGCTCAGAATACAACAGTTTAGAAGCATATACGTATAAAGATGCACAACATATCCCTCCAAACTGCCAATATCCAAAACCCCTCCTTTAAAGTGCAGGCATTGTACTTCCCATTTCCAGGACTCAAGACCGGCTATATAAGATACCCGGTTTCACTGAATCCCTTCACTAAATATTACCCTGCTCACACTCCAACAGCTCGTCAGGTCCCAAATACCATTCATCTCCATTCACTCCCATCTAACACGCTCACACACCCTTGCTGGAAGCCCAAGCCCCTTTCCCACAAAACCTCCTTTACCCCCTCCCTCCAACCTTTTCAAGGATGACCCCTACCCCGCCTTCCTTCCCCTACAGATTTATACGCTCTCCATGTCATTCTACTTTGATCCATTCTCTCTAAATGACCAAACCACCTCAACAACCCCTCTTCAGCCCTCTGACTAATACTTTTATTAACTCCACACCTCCTAATTTCCACACATCGAATTTTCTGCAAGCTTCACACCCATATAAGAGTGTTGGTACTACTATACTTTCATACATTCCCTTCTTTGCCTCCATAGATAACATTTTTTGTCTCCACATATACCTCAATGCACCACTCGCCTTTTTTCCTTCATCAATTCAATGATTAACCTCATCCTTCACAAATCCATCCACTGACACGTCAACTCATAAATATCTGAAAACATTCATTTCTTCCATACTCCTCCTCCCCAATTTGATATCTAATCTTTCTTTATCTAAATCATTTGATACCCGCATCAACTTACTCTTTTCTATGTTCACTTTCAACTTTCTACCTTTACACCATATCGGAGTAATTGAAAGTTCTCATCGTTGAACTTCATATTGTTTTCTGCAGCCCACTGAAAGATTTGGTTGATGTCTGCCTGGAGCCTTGCAGTGTCTGCTATGAAAGACACTGACAGTTTTGACACAGTTCTTGCAGCTAGTCAAGGAGGGTCCCTTGCTGGATTAGGAACTTGCATTTTGGTAGGAAAGAGGTCTGCTTTCTCTTGACTACTAATAGAGGTGGTCCCATCCTGTTGATTTAGAGGTGGAATGAGTTCATCAGGCAGATAATCTTGTCTGTCCTTGACCAGGGACCACCAGGTTTTGGAGCCTACTCTACCTGATGCTAGCTTTCTTTTTGTGTCCACCTCCCATTCAGCAATGGCCCACTTTTGAACGTCACCCATATGCCTACAGGCTTGTTTGTGCAAATTCCTGTTATAGGTGGCAGGATGTCTCTTATACCTTTACCATGCCTTGCACTTAGCAGTAGCAGCCTCTCTACAACAAAAGCCAAACCAAAGCTGATTTGTAGGCTTCATCACATATTGTGCAAGAAAAGTATAAAATACCGACAATATGAAAGTTTAAACACATGTGCAACATCTGGATATCTTTATTATAGACTTTTTGCCATCCAGTGGCTTTATCAATAGAGATTCTAGGACATAATTAAAGAGAGTAGAACTATATACAAAAGATGAGGTAATCAGTCCCTCAGCCTTGGAGTTAGTGTTCACAGCATCTTGGTGGAGGAGAATCTGGAGCAAAGGCAAGAAGACTAGCTGTTATATAGGCATCAGTGGATAAGGACATGTAGCAGATGAGGGCATAGTCACTGGTAGGCAGGATTCCCCAGTGGAAGTAGGTCCTACCCAAAGGGATGGGTTAGTTGTAGCAGCCATGAAGAAGGTCTTGTAGGACCTACTTCCACTGGGTAATCTCGCCTACCAGTGACTATGCCCTCGTCTGCTACACGTCCTTATCCACAGACACCTATATAACTGCCAGTCTTCTTGCCTTTGCTCCAGATTCTCCTCCACCACGATGCTGTGAACACTAACTCCAAGGCTGAGGGACTGATTACCTCATCTTTTGTATATAGTTCTACTGTCTTTAATTATGTAGAGTGGAACCTCAAAAATCGAACTGCTCCCAACACAACCAATTATGTAAGTGTATTTTTGTAAGTGCTTTTATAAGTGTATTTTTAAGGGTCTGAAATGGACTAATCTAATTTACATTATTCCTGATGGGAATAAATTCATTCGGTAAAGGCACTCGAACAGACTTCTGGACCGAAGAAAGTTCGATTTTTGAGGTTCCACTGTACTAGAATCTGTATTGATAAAGCCACTGGATGGCGAAATGTCTACAATAAAGATATCCAGATGTTGCACATGTGTCTAAACTTTCGTCACATATTGGAGGTGAGGAATGTGTTCTTGTTGTAGATTAAGGATGTGTCCAGTGAAGGGTTTCACTTGGTTGTCAACATCTCCTTGGAGAAGAGCATTCCAATCGGTGGTGGTGAGCTCAGAGCAAAAGGTTGGCCAATTACCTCTTTCCCATAGCCAGGTTGTGCATGTGAACTCCTCACCTCGTTCTGTTGGGATCTTAAGTGTCATAAAAACAGCCTTGTGGTCAGATGATCCAATGTAGCCGAGGGGTTGACAAGTGACTATACCTACTGCCAGATCACTCACTACTAGGTCAAGGGAGGAGCCAGAGATGTGAGTAGGGAAATCAACAAAGTTTCTCATGTCAAATACTGCAAGAAGGTCATCAAACTCCCTCTGTATAAGGTGTTGGTTGAGGTCACCAACAATTATGATATGTTGACAGTTGTGCTGTAGCAGAAGGGACTCCACATTTACCAATAGGAAGTTGATGGAGTTTGCATGTTGCCACTGAGGTCTGTACATTCCATGTATCTGTGTATATGCTAGTACAGAGGTACTAGTGTTTATGCAGAGCTTGAAGAACATCATTTCAAGATAAGTAGGGGTGGCAACATCTATGTGCTGGGCATGTACACTTTTAGAGAAGCACACAGCAACACCTCCTCCTTGCCCTTGCCTGTCTCTTCTCATCCATGAGGTGTAGCTAGCAATTCTTGCAAAATTTTCTGGAGTCCTGTCATCCAAAAATGTTTCAACAACAGCTATCATGCCGGGACGCCGAGTGTTCACAAAACTGTGTGTGAGCTTTCCAACACTAGTAATGAAACCTCTAATGTTGGCCGACATGATGCTGATAGACTGGCTCCTCATGATGTGGTCTCTTTCTCTCTCTCTCTCTCTCTCTCTCTCTTTTTCTCTCTCTCTCTCCCTCTCTCTCTCACACTACAGTAGGGTTACCCAAAATAGGAAAACGCTTTCACTGTCATTTATTTAATCACTGTCTTGCTAGAAGCATGCTGACATCACAGTTAAGATAATCATTTGAACTGCAACATACCCACCTCTTCTTCAGAGTGCTTGCACTGGACTTTCTACCTCCAGGACTCAAGCCTGGCTAATCTGTTTCTCTGAGTTCCTTCATAAATATTACCTTGCTCACATGCAACAGTATGATAAGCCATAAAACCTACTTATCTCCATTCATTCCCAACTAACATACTCATACCAGCCTGCTGGATACTAAAGCCCCTAGCACTCAAAACTTCCTTCATGCCTTCTCTCCAGCCCCTCCTCGGAAGACTCACACCCAGGAGAGGAATTAAACATATGTGCAACATCTGGGAATCTTTACTGTAAACGTTTTGCCATCCAGTGGCTTTACCAATACAAATTCAAGGACATAGAACTATATACAAAAGACGAAGAGCTGGTGATCTTGAAGAGTCTGAATAACAGGCATGAACATTGGCACTTGTATACAACTCACTTTTCAAACAGCCTCCCAGAACAGACCAAGTTTGAATATCAAGGCACCACTATACCCAGATGTTGCACATGTCTAATTCTTCATTTTGTTGGTAATGTATACCATACATGTACAAAAAATATATACATGAACTCAGAATAAGTTGTAATAAATAATTGTCAATGAATAAACAGAAAGATGGATGGGAGGCTTGAACTATGGTCCCAAAATTGACAGGCCCAATGCTCTACCGCTTCAGCTATGGGGCTTCGGAAACAGTACTTCTGAACATGTTTTCCTGCATAAGAACTAACTGTAACCCAACTAAACACCTCCCCACAGCCCAAGAGATTTAGCAGTAAATCTATTCTTACCTCCTTCAAAGCCATATAGACTATGAACTCAGATTAATTCATAATAAATGAGATAATATTCTTAAATAAATAATAAATAAAATAAACAGAAAATATAATTAGTAAATAATATTAATGCAATTTTCATCTTTTACACTTACTGTGTGACAGGACAGTACTGCATGTCCTGATTGGTATTGGGCAACACAGCAGGTTTTCTAACATCAACAGTCAAGCTTGGACTAACTCCCTGAGGTCGTGATGGTGATTTACCCAGTAAACAAACTCCACCCAGTGCACATAAAAATCCTGTCATATTGGCCCATTCATTAACTTGATCCTGAATCTGTTAAAAATATAAAAAAACACAAGAATTATATCATAACAGTGGCATACTAGTCAAACTGGTGCAGAAGTCACTCTTTACTTTTTGAGCTAAAAATTCTAATCTATTATCTCCAATTACTCCCTGCTGAATGATGTACCACATACAGGTTAGATTTTCTTTTAAACAATCTATTTCTTGTTTTTAGTTCATTTATAATGAGCAAAACAATGCTGAATATTACTGGAAGGTCTACAGATTATACTTTTAATTCCTGGTTGAGTAAGAGAGTAAAATTGTGTCAAAATTATTTATGGGATATGTTGGGTTAAGTCATATCTGTAATGTTTATACACTGTCATCAATCAGGTCTAAATACAGATTATGTTATATATGTACTGTAATACATTCTACTTTAATGAATGTAAAATTAATACAAGAGGGAAGTTAGGCAGCAGTGGAACTCTGACATGGAACCATAAACCAGCATGCACTTGATTATAATACAACACTGTCAAGAAATACAGTGATGCTTTCCTTTACTCAGGTTTTTTTTATTCCAACAAGTCGGCCGTCTCCCACCGAGGCAGGGTGACCCAAAAAGAAAGAAAATCCCCAAAAAGAAAATACTTTCATCATCATTCAACACTTCCACCTCACTCATATATAATCACTGTTTTTGCAGAGGCACCCAGATACAACAGTTTAGAAGCATATATAAAGATATATAACATATCCCTAAAAACTGCCAATATCCCAAACCCCTCTTAAAAGTGCAGGCATTGTTCTTCCCATTTCCAGTACTCAAGTCTGGCTATATAAAAATAACAAGTTTCCCTGAATCCCTTCACTAAATATTACGCTGCTCACGCTCCAACAGCTTATCAAGTCCCAAAAACATTCGTCTCCATTCACTCCTATCTAACACGCTCACGCAAGCTTGCTGCATGTCCAAGCCCCCTCCACAAAACCTCCTTTACCCCCTCCCTCCAACCTTTTCGAGGACAACCCCTACTCCCCCTTCCATCCCCTACAGATTTATGCGCTCTCCACGTCATTCTACTTTGATCCATTCTCTCTAAATGACCAAACCACCTCAACAAACCCTCTGACTAATACTTTTATTAACTCCACACCTTCTCCTAATTTCCACACTCTGAATTTCTGCATAATATTTACACCACACATTGCCCTTAGACAGGACATCTCCACTGCCTCCAACCACCTCCTCGCTGCAGCATTTACAACCAAAGCTTCACACCCATATAAGGGAGTTGGTACCACTATACTTTCATGCAATCCCTTTTTTGCCTCCATAGATAACATTTTTTGTCTCCACATATACTTCAATGCACCACTCACCTTTTTTCCTTTATCAATTCTATGGTTAACCTCATCCTTCATAAACCCATCCAATGACACATCAACTCCCGAATATCTGAAAACATTCACTTCATCCATACTCCCTCTTTCCTACACACCCTAACCTGAGCCTCACTATCCTCATAAAAACTCTTTACAGCATTTAGTAATGTACTACCTATTCCATATACTTGCAACATCTGCCACACTGCTCCCTTATCTACTCTATCATATGCCTTTTCTAAATCCATAAATGCAATGAAAACTTCTCTACCTTGATCTAAATACTGTTCACATACATGCTTCAATGTAAACACTTGATCTACACATCCCCTACCCACTCTAAAGCCTCCTTGCTCATCTGCAATCCTACTCTCTGTCTTACCTCTAATTCTTTCAATAATAACCCTACCGAACACTCTTCCTGGTATACTCAGTAAACTTATTCCCCTATAATTTTTACAGTCTCTTTTGTCCCCTCTTTTGCTACTGCAGATACTGATAATAATTAATGTTCACCACATTCCATGACAAACAACTATAAAAATCAAGAGTACCAGTCATGTCTTACCTCCATTTCATGTTCAGTGCTTTGGTGTGATGCTCTTCTCTTACACACTGAACGAGGAAAACTATCAGAAATTTGCCCTTCCTCTTGTTTGGCCTTGGGATATGATACTAACATCTTCGTGGAATTTTCCCAGTTGATAAATGTGTCTTCCCATGCCTGTCCATCATAACCAGAAATAAGAAAACACACCTGAGACAATTATTTCCATAATATGATGATATAGTATACGACAGCCAGAATGCACTGATAAATTTAAAAAGAGAAACTTTAATTTTTCTTTTTAGGTCACCCTGCCTTGTTGGGATATGGTTGGTTTGACAGAAAAAAAAAAACACTATCACTGCAATTCATTAGCAGAGAATATTCAATCCTGTAATATCCTTTCTCACTTCTTAAATCTCCTTTTTGATACCTTAATGTACAGAATACAACAGTCAAAATAATTTATCTAATTTTGTCATTACAACACTATCACTTCTCCATGGGGAAGTGGAACAGAATTCTTCCTCGATAAGTCATCATGTCGTAAGAGGCGACTACAATGCCAGGAGCAAGGGGTTAGTAACCCCATCTCCAGTATACACTGCTAAATTTAAAAAGAGAAACTTTAATTTTTCTTTTTAGGTCACCCTGCCTTGTTGGGATATGGTTGGTTTGATAGAAAAAAAAAAAACACTATCACTGCAACTGGTCAGCAGAGAATACTCAATCCTGTAATATTCTTTCTTACCGCTTAAATCTCCTTTCTGATACCTTCCTTCCCCCTCCCTTCTCTTCCCTCCCTAGCCTTCCCATCCTTCCCTTCATTCCTCTCCTTCTCTTTCTCCTACTTCCTTTCCATCCCACCCCTCACTTCCCTTTCCTTTCCCACTCCTCCCTCACCTTGCAATTCCCCTCCCATCATACCCACCAGCAATATTTCCATTTTACAATTTAATGCCATGATATGATTGTTTTTCTGTTTTTAATTGCTTTTAATGTTTAATACTATGTACATATGCTTCTTATGATATTAGATATATTTAAAAATGTTTTATCACTTCAAACATGGGGGAAATGTAGGGGAAGGAAGGCGGGGTAGGGGTCGTCCTCGAGAAGATTGGAGGGAGGGGGTAAAGGAGGTTTTGTGGGCGAGGGGCTTGGACTTTCAGCAAGCATGCGTGAGCTTGTTAGATAGGAGTGAATGGAGACGAATGGTATTTGGGACCTGACGAGCTATTGGAGTGTGAGCAGGGTAATATTTAATGAAGGGATTCAGGGAAACCTGTTATTTTCATATAGCCAGACTTGAGTCCTGGAAATGGGAAGTACAATGCCTGCACTTTAACCCTTAAACTGTCCAAACGTAGATCTACGTTTTTCCAACACTTAAAAGTATGAATAAAAATGTAGATCGTCTTTTTTTTTTTTTTACATTTGAAAACGTAAAAAATGATCTACGTTTTTTTTTTTGTTATATTTGAAAATATGTAAAAAAATGTAGATCTACTTTTGTAGCACTACGCATGTGAACGTCGATCTGATTGAACAGTTTAAGGGTTAGAGGAGGGGTCTGGGATATTGGCAGTTTGGAGGGATATGTTGTGTATCTTTACATGTATATGCTTCTAAACTGTTGTATTCTGAGCACCTCTGCAAAAACAGTGATTATGTATGACTGAGGTCAAAGTGTTGAAAGATAATGAAAGTACAGTGGACCCCCGCTTAACGATCACCTCCCAATGCGACCAATTATGTAAGTGTATTTATGTAAGTGCGTTTGTACGTGTATGTTTGGGGGTCTGAAATGGACTAATCTACTTCACAATATTCCTTATGGGAACAAATTCGGTCCGTACTGGCACCTGAACATACTTCTGGAATGAAAAAATATCGTTAACCGGGGGGTCCACTGTATTTTCTTTTTGGGGATGTTCTTTTTTTTTGGGTCACCCTGCCTAGGTCGGTCGTCGCTATAATTTTTATTCTATTTTTATACTATTTTGGTCATCTAACACAATGTACAAGGAATACTTATAACATTTCAAATGTTTCAAAGTGTAATACTCCTCAAAGCATGGAAATAAATCACAGTTTGAATTTACTAGGTAATCCTGGGTGTGCTTTGTGGCTGAATTCCAATGTTAGTATCATGAAATTGTGATAATTTGGAAAAAATAAGTCATTTTCATGCTACTTGCACACCCTGTTTGCTGATAGGAAAGCTGGTGGAGGAACAACAGCTCCTGGTTTCATTGTTTACTTATACTAGATAGGCATACTTGTACAATGAACACAGTCATCACCTGTGTAGTTAACCATGACAAAATGTGTGGACCCTCCTGGTCAATTTTTTTTTTTTTCAAATGTATGAATAGACTAGAAGACCCAAAGTTTTGTGCTAAGGTCAAAAATACTGGCAGTGGTACAGTGGACCCTCAAATTTCAAACGTATCGCATATCGAACTCTTCGAAAATCAACCGCTTTTTTCGAACCAGGTTTGTCCCTATTATTGAACTCGCCCTTATTCTCAAACTGCCGGGTACCAGACCTGTCCGCCAGCCCGCTCTGTCCGCATCCCCGCGCAGGCACCTTGAGCCAGTCTGGTTTTGTTGATGCTTGAGTGAACAATAACATGCACTCTCATTCAAACATTTTACGATTAATTCATTGTGTTTAGTGCTTGTGGGACTGTGAAATAAGCTACCATGGGCCCAAAGAAACTTGTTAGTGGTACCCCTGTGGTAAAGAAAGTGAGAAACACCACAGATGTGAAGAAGGAAATAATACAGAAGTATGAGAGTGATGTGAAACTTGTTGAGCTTACCAGGATGTACGGGAAAAACAAGTCGACCATCGCTTCTATCCTGGCAAAGAAAGAACAAATCAAGAAAGCTGATTTCCCTATTTTAGGGAAATCTTAAAAAGGTGCCAGAAACAGAGGACTGTGGACAGTTATTTTGTGAGACAGGGGTCCAGTGACTCTCAGGCTGGTCCTAGTGGCATTAAAAGACAGAGAAGGGAAGTAACCCCAGAGAGGGCTTTGATACCTAAAGTCCTTATGGAGGGGGATTCCCCTTCCAAATACTAACCTCAACTCCCTCTCTCCTCCTCCCTATCTTCCAGATGCCATCACCAATCTTCAATAAAGTAAAAATGTTCGTTTATACGTTTTATTTAAATTTATTAATACATAATTGTACACTATATTGTGGTTTTAATTTAAGCCACTTGGAGTATTGAGTGGCAGTGCGCGCCAGTGGGCCGGGTTGCTACACCATCACCGCCCGCCACCTTTGCCACCACCACCACTAGACTACCTGTGGTGTTCACCTTTCTACTGCTCACACACTGGGTCAAGAGCTGTACTTCACCTTTGTTTCACCTGAGCGCCGCCGTTAAAAGCCTAAGTGTGAGAGTCTTCGGAAAGTGCTCATCGTGATGACAACAGTGTGAGTGTAGGACTAATCGCCTGTCCACAGGACCACATCTTCCCATCACCAGTCACTGCCGTCCACCACTGCTTCCAGACTTCAGTGATAATTTTCTCTTTAGAGACGGTTTTCTTTGCATTTAAAGACATTTGTGTGTGTGAGACATTTACGTGAATTTCTTGTGTACTCTAAGCCTTGTGTTTTCAGTGTAGACTCAGTATTTCTTTGACTCATTATTTTTGCATTACAGTGGACCCCCGGTTAACGATATTTTTTCACTCCAGAAGTATGTTCAGGTGCCAGTACTGACCGAATTTGTTCTCATAAGAAATATTGTGAAGTAGATTAGTCCATTTCAGACCCCCCAAACATACAAGTACAAACGCACTTACATAAATACACTTACATAATTGGTCGCATTTGGAGGTAATCGTTATGCGGGGGTCCACTGTATTTTTCAGTGTTATCGTTCATCTTTCGTGTTTCATTTTTATATTTTTATCTGTTTTTTTTATGCTACTCTCTGCCTGTAGTATTATTTTGCAATGTACAAGTTTATTCTTTATTTGTGTGCAGTATTTTATTCCTTACCCCAGACATTCACTCTGTACGAATTCATTCATTTTTTTTTTTTACCCTATATTCTTTCAGCACTGTATTCTCCAGTACTTGTCGTTATTGTAATTCATGTAGTGCTATTCACCCCAGTATACTAAATTACCCATTTATTTGTGTGTACCATTTTTTTCTTATGCCCAGCAGTCTCTCATTCCCTTGATTTTTTTGCGACTCTTTTTTAATTCTCACAGTAGTACCAGTACCAGTAACCAGTTATCAGTGTCAGTAGTGACTCACTACCAACCGTCTGTGTGAATCACTTGTTATTCACTGTTACAGCTGACCTTAGCATGTTTTGAACCTGCTCACCCCTAGGAACCACCTCGTGACTCAGTCTAAAGCTAGGAAGCGGAGACGTAGGTCAGGCTGGGCGCTTCCCATATATTCCATTTTAATTATACTCCATTATTGCCTAAGTGAGTATCCTTTACCCAATCCACATTATGTCCCACAGGACATAATTAATCTCTAAAAAATGTATTTTTTTGTGAATATTTTTGGGTTTCTGGAACGGATTAATTGTATTTCCATTATTTCTTAGGGGAAATATTGCTTTGCCTTTCACACATCTTGAATTTAGAACTAGCTCTTGGAATGGATTAAGTTCGAAATTTGAAGTTCCACTGTACATAAAATTGTGAGTACTAGAATGTTGGATACAGTCATCAGTTGTGTACTACTATGTTGGACACATTCATCAGTTGTGTATTAGTATGTTGGACACAGTTTAAAGGTTAAACACTTTCAAGATTTTATTTATTTACTTATTTTTTTAACACATTGGCCATTTTCCACAAAGGCAGGGTGACCCAAAAAGAAAGAAAAACCCAAAATGAATGAAAAAACTTTCATCATTTAACATCTTCACCATCACCCATACATAATCACTGTCTTTGCAGAGGCGCTCAGATACGACAGCTTAGACGTCCCTCCAACTTGCCAATATCCCAAACCATTCCTTTAATGCTTAAACTGTCCAAACGTAGATCTATGTTTGCGAGAGTAGCGCTCCAACCTTGATTTTCTCCATAAAAGTAGATCTATGTTCGGAGCACTACGCGAGCGAACATAGATCTATGTTTGGACAGTTTGAGGGTTAAAGTAGAGGCAGTGTACTTCCCACCAACAGGACTAAGTCCGGCTAACCAGTTTCCCTGAATCCCTTCACAAAATATTACCCTGCTCACACTCCAACAGCTCGTCAGGTCCCAAAAACCATTCATCTCCAGTCACTCCTATCTAACACGCTCGCACACACTTGCTGGAAGTACGAACCCCTCGCCCACAAAATCTCCTCTACCCCCTTCCTTACCCCGCCTACCTTTCCCTACAGATTTATACATTTTCCAAATCATTCTACTTTGTTCCATTCTCTCTAAATGACCAAACCAACTCAACAGCCCCTCTTCATCCCTCTAATACTTTAATTAACTCCACACCTTCTCCTAATTTCCACACTATGAATTCTTTGCATAATATTTACACCACACATTGCCCATAGACACAACATCTCCACTGCCTCCAGCCACCTCCTCGCTACAGCATTTACAACCCTAGCTTCACACCCATATAAGAGTGTTGGTATCACTATAATTTCGTTTAATCCTTTCTTTGCTTTTATATCTATAATTTATTTCCAAATTCATTAATTTGAAAAAAATAACTATTATCTCCTATTTATAACAAATATTTTTTAATGGTCTCAAACTCACATAAAGGCAGCCGGGTGTCCATTTCTCAATCTTGCGTAACAGAGCCATAATACGTTTCTGAAGGGCAGCTCTACCTGTGTGTAGAAAAACATTTAATATAGCTATACAGAAAAATTTATTTTAGAGCATTTGGTATCCAACACTCCATGAAGAGATATTTTCTAATGGCATTTCAGCATAAATTTTTTTTATCAGGTTACCAATTTTAGTCTCTCATTCTCCCAAAGGATGATTTTAAAACATCCTCCTATTATAATCATATAGGTAGGTATCATATGTCTGTCTATCAAAGAGTAAATTGTCAGAATTTTTAATCCTATTCCAAAATATGTATTTCTAACTAGAACTGAATAATTAGGCAGAACTGCCTAATTTATGAATTTTTTTTTTAATTAAAATTACAGTAGACCCTCATGTTACACAGATTTATTTAGCACATTTTGGTTATTACATTACTGACAAATTCCAGCATAATTTTATACAACACTTCGTGAAATTAACTTAACATGGTTCGGTTTGCGGGAGGGTAAAAACTTGGAGCATCGCCAACGGGATATTTCCCTAGCTCAGACTTCCGCCTGGCTGTGGGTGAGACCACTGTCTCTGCAGGGCTGCACTGGGCTTCAAGGAAGCAAAGGATCGCTTCATCTTGCTTCTTTCCGGTAATGCATCAGGTTATTTCAAGTGTGAGCCCATGATTACTTACTGCTCTAAAAATCCTCGTGCTTTGAAAAGTGTAGATAAAAAGACCTTATCAGTAATTTGGAGGTCAAACCTGTCAGCATGAATGAAAAGGAAATATTTATTGACTGGTTTAAGCATCACTTTATTCCTGAAGTCAAGTTTTACCTGCACAGCAAGAACCTTGCATTCAAGGCTCTCTTCATTCTTGATAATTCCCGTACTCATCCAGAAGCTTTGCTGGATGTGATCCCACAAATTGTATTTTTACCTCCAAATACAACATCTTTAATACAACCACTGGATCAGGGAGTGATTAAGTCATTCAAATGTAACTACTCAAGAAAAGTGATGAAAAAACAACATTATCATTTCTATTTTTCTAAGATCTGGATGTCTAAAAAAATGGTGTTTGACTTCTGGGGGGATGGTACCAGGAACATATCCCTATTTTTCCCATAAGTTTTTCAGTTTATATGACATGGATTTTATATAACATGGCATTTTCAGGAACCTGATTACCATTTAATATGAGGGTCTACTGAAAATAAAAATTCATTTTGCACCAAACCCAAGCAATTAACCTCACCTAATTTAATTAAAGTTTAAGTACAGTAATGTGATTTAGCTTGATCCTACTAACCCTATTTTAGGCATGTCTAAATTTATTAAGTAACACTTAACCTTATCACAGTCCATAGCCCCAAAATTAATATTACTCCCAGTGTTCACTTAAAAAAAAAAAAGGTTGGTAATAACACCAAACGTACATAATTTGACGGAAAAACTTACAAAATTATGCAAAATTAGCAGTTTGGGATTTGCTCATCTGCAATTTTGTCAACTTCAAGTTCTATTTTAAATCAATTCCAATGCTCCATTCGACCAAATTCCTATCTATTTCATTAGTACAGGTCCTCCATCACAAATCCAGCATCACTGGGACCTGTAGTGTGCCGGATTACTGAGTTTGCCGAATTACAGAGTGGTTAGGTTAGAATACACTTAATAAAATTAACCAACTTGACTTACACAGTTCATTGAACATCGGCAAAAGTCGAACATTTCCGCTAATTTGAGCTCAATTTCAAGGTACTTTTCGTCATGAAAGCAATCAAAATCATGTCTATTTCTGTAATATATCTTCCATTCTATCAAATGAGCCCCAAAAAATGAGAATACAACCAATAAAAACATACAAAAATATACTGCAAAGAGGCACCTAATGGCTGAGAAGTTAACTCCCTTATTTATCGTCCGTCTTTTTTATTTTTGTTGTACGTTAAGAAGCATCTTTCCATCATACATTGCCCAAGTTTCAATGAGAGAGCCTAACAAACAACCGAGAAAAAAAAAATATTTACCAAAAATCATATATGACAAGCCAAGCCAGGTAATGGAAATAAGTCACTTTGTCTGACTTTTCTGGGTTATCCCAGGTTCTCTATACATACGCTGCTATGTATGATAATCTATGTAACTGTATTTGTGTATACCTTAATACACTTATTTACTTCTGGTCTGTCAACTGAGTACAAGAAACCGCTCATTCACTTTTTTCAACTAGCCAATAAAGTGGTCAGAAATTGGCAATTTGGCCGATTTCACACAAATTTCAACAGATGCCAATTTCAAAATAAAGTCCAGAATAAACAATGCAGACATTCCTGGCACTAAAATAACATTTTCTCTGTTCATTAGTCACGGCTACAGGCCCCTCTTATATTACTCTTGCTTTTCATTTAGAATTTTTATTCACAAAAAAAATAGAAGATTTACTGTTATGCAGACTACTGCATTATTGTAATAATTGTATAAATAATGTTAAGCCATTCTTGACTCCGTATTGGAATTTGGACTGACAGGCGGACAAGTATTGGACGGTGACGTCATTTGTTTACTCTTGAGCTTCGCTAAAAAATAGAACATTTTCGCTACTGTGAGCGCAATTTCAAGGTACTTTTCATCATGAAAGCAATCAAAATCATATCTATTTCTGTAATATATCTTTCACTCTATCAAATGAGACCAAAAAAATGAGAATATAGCCATAAAAACCATACAAAAATATACCGCTAAGCGGCCGCTAATGGCTGAGAAGTGAACTCAGCTATTTATGGTCTGATTTCTTTCATTTTTGGTGTACATGAAGAAGTATCTTTCCATCATACATTGCCCAAGTTTGAATAAGATAACCCAACAAACAAGTGTGATAATAAATAATAATAATAATAATATCTTTATTTACTACACGTACATGTACAAGGTATACAGGCCTAGCTGACATCAGTGACAAACTACTATATAGAAAGCAGCTCGTTATGCAGAGTATTTCAAGAAAATTAGGTTAGTGTCCCAGGATAACACCCACACTAGTTGGCTAACACCCAGGTACCCATTTACTGATGGGTAAACATAGACAACAGGTGTAAAGAAACACGCCTAATGTTTCTACCCTGGCTGGGAATCGAATATTTATCAAAAATCATATATGGCTAACCCAAGCCAGGTACTAAAAATAAGCCACGCTGACTTTTTTTGGGTTATCCTAGGGTCTCTACACATGTGCTGCTATGTGTGAAAATCTATAGAGATAAAATAACTTTTTTGTTTCAGGTTTATGGTGCAGTACGAGTGTATATCACAGTTAGCCCTGTGCTATACTCTGTTTTCTCTAATATAAGCCACCAAGACAGGGATAGGAGAATGGTATTTGTATACCATATCCTCTTCATACCTCCGTCGAACTGCTCGGTATTATGCCAAATATTATTTATTCTGGAGTATTTAACATGTTTTATGTTATTTATATTGTTTATTATGTCATATTAGATCAATTGTGATAGGCAAATAAGCTGTAGTGTTGATATTAGTGTAATAATAAAGCATATTCTCCTGCATTATGAGACTGAGTTCATGACAACCAACAGTGGCTTCCAAGCCACCTTATCTTTAATGGATAATGTACTGTGTCGGTGCTTTACATAATGAGAAGCATTTCTTTTATTCATTGGAACCATGGCAAGGGCTAAAAGTAAGCAGGTTATAACAATAAATGGAGAAAAAGAAATTGGAATGACTTATGCAGCAAGTAGCGCCACCAAACAGTACCAGCAGGTTGGTGTGGCGACCCTGGAAATTTGAAATTATGCTAGCCAAAATTAGTGCCGAATAACTGAAGGAACCGAATAACTGATTGCCGGATTTGTGATGGCGGACCTGTACAGTATGTCTTCCATTCTACTGAATGAATACAAGAATCTGCCAATTTAACTATTACAACTATCCTATAAAGTGCACAGAATTCTGTAATTTGGCCTATTTTACACAAAATTAAAAAAAAAATTAAAAACAGTGCAAAATAAACATTGCAGACATTCCTGCCACTAAAATAACTTTTTCTTTGTTCATTTATCACATCCCTAGGTGTCTCCCATATTACACTTGCCTTCCATTCAGAATTCATCATCACACAAAAATGAAGATTTAGCTCTATTTCCCAGATAATAAAATATAACTAGGAATGATTGCTTATGGTTTATGAAACCCAATAACTGAATCAGATCTATTAAAAACCCATAAAACAGACCAGAGGGTGTAGGAGAGGTCCAGCCATCCTCAGGAAAATTGGCAAAAAACAAATATTTCTACTAATTTGAGCCCAATTCCAAACTATTTCTGGTCCAGAAACTAACCAAAATCGTCTTTATTTCAGTAACATATCTTCCATTCTATCAAATGATACCAAGAAACAGCCAATAAAACAATAAAAACCATCCTAAAAAAGACCTCAAAATCACTATTAAACTAAATACTGTACATGGTTATAGGTAGTAGGTTGGTAGACAGCAACCACCCAGGGAAGTACTACCGTCCTGCCAGATGACTGTGAAACAAAAACCTGTAACTGTTTTGCATGATGGTAGGATTGCTGGTTTTCTTTTTCTGTCTCATAAACACGCTAGATAACAGGGATATCTTGCTACTCCTACTTACACTTTGGTCACACTTCACAGACACGCACATGCATATATATATATATATACATACATCTAGGTTTTTCTCCTTATTCTAAATAGCTCTTGTTCTTTTTTATTTCTTCTATTGTCCATGGGGAAGTGGAAAAGAATCTTTCTCCGTAAGCCATGCGTGTCGTATGAGGCGACTAAAATGCCGGGAGCAATGGGCTAGTAACCCCTTCTCCTGTATACATTTACTAAAAAAGAGAAGAAGAAAAACTTTATAAAACTGGGTTGTTTAAATGTGCGTGGATGTAGTGCGGATGACAAGAAACAGATGATTGCTGATGTTATGAATGAAAAGAAGTTGGATGTCCTGGCTCTAAGCGAAACAAAGCTGAAGGGGGTAGGAGAGTTTCAGTGGGGGGAAATAA